AATATATACAGTGCTTTCTTTCAGCCGAATCTCTCTCGTTAAAGCTGGAAAAAGCCACCTCTTAGTAGTTATTTTATATACAGGTGACAGAAGCTCGGAGTTTCAATGATTCGCCCCTCATTTCAATTAGTTTAGTGACAGGCAGAACGGCACCATTCCTGGTCCAAGGCACTCACTGCACAGCTGACGGGGCCACAGACGGCCAGGCCCAGCCTCCCTGGCAACACGTGTCCTTTGATGCCTCAACCCCGTCTTTTGGACACTAATTCTTTATTAGCAACCGCATTAGGAAAATGGAAGGACATTTGCTTTTAAACTCCATTCTCTTACTGGTAAGCAACTTCTGGGAAAAAGTTTCACACAGGAAAATGTTGGAGCCATAAGACGAAATGTGGCATTGAGAAAACCTGACTTTCAACTCATCTATACTCTATGCCTTCCCATAGGTTAGCTGCCAGCCACATGTGGCTATTTAAATTTATTCAAATCAAATATATTAAAAGTTCAGTTCCTCGGCCACTAGCCACCTTCCAGGGCTCAGTACTACTGTACGGGATGGCACAAATACAGAACTTTCCCAGTGTCACAGCAAGTGGCACTGACAGCTCTGGCCATGCTACCTCCTGAACAGAGGGGACTTCTTACCGATTCCCTTCTAATTACAGGCAAACTGCAAGAACCACACCAGTGTGAGCAGGGCATAAGTGCCGCCCGTTACATCTACATATGGTGCATCTACAGATAATTTATCTATATTGGTATCTCTGTACATTTACTCACTCATCAAATATTCTCTAAGTGCCTACTGCATGTCAGACACTGGACTATGCTTTGTGTGTCATATATGTTCACATCTTGATCCCTTTGTTTAGGTATAGCTTTCTAGAAAACTGGGGCCAACGAAACCTTACAATTCTTTGAATGTAAGACCCGCTGCACAGTTAGATGGTAATAAATGTTTTCTGACATTTACNAAAGAAAGATTGATGAGTTCTTGAGTTAACAACAACATGAGATTTAATTACTTTGGTAACATTTAAAATATATATTTATATACTTTCATTCAAGATGAATGTATATGCAATAAAGTCTATTATGAAATAAACTGATTTAATAGGTCCTTTGTAAAACCGTACAAGCTCACCCTTGCGCTTGCACCCCCACTTTCGTCCTTACCAGTGAGGTCGGGCTGGGGAAAATTGCTTTGATAGGTGAGCTGCTGGTCCCCCCGCTGCTGGGCGGGTTGATTCTTTTTTCCTTCTGGCGGCGATTACAAAACCAAACGCGAATCACCTCCTTTTCCATACTGAGCTGGTCAGCAATCATGGTGATCTCTTCCGAGGTAGGCTTTTGATTCTGAAGGGGCAAATCATGGTTGGGAATAACTCTGTGAACTACTGGCATAACCATGTCATTATATAAACAAACAAACGGGGAGGGACAAGCCAGAGGAGGAAGCTGGATACAGATGACATATTAGCCCACCTTCAGCAAAGATCTTCCATCAACTGACACGCTAGCGAACACACATGCATTAAATCTGTTCTTATTAGCCTAGAGTAAGTTATTCTTGAATATTGATATTTTTTCATTTAACGGCTGTTAATCTTGAGTAAAATGAACAATCAATGCAACCTTGCACGTCAGTGGGAGTTTAAGGCTTTCCCCCAGACTTCACGCACGTGATCCCATCTGGACCATGTGGGGCAGGCAATAGGCCTGGGGGACAGGAAAGGAGGTATTTCCCAGGGAAGGGGCTTCAGCTTAAGAAATCAAGTTCATGGGTGGCAGAGCTGATAGACGCAGTGCTCCTTCCACTATGCTCAAGCCTTTTCTGAATTAGGTAAGTCGAAATATGTTGGAAGTTTTGATTGTGATATGCCCTGGTACAAACAAACAAACAGCCAAATATCTGTTGAATTAACTTGAACTTGACAGCCTGGCATTCCCGGCCATAGTGTTCTGGTCGCAGACGGCTATTCTAGGCACAGACACCAGAGCTTAGCCACAGCGAACTCCTGGGTGTGCCCCGATGCACCTCCTGTTTCTTCTTCTGGATGCCTTCGCCCACGCCCCCATCTGTGGGAGTCCTCTGTCCTGTGGCAGCTGCCGCCTCTGTGACACTGAGTGAGCGCCCACATGGATGTGAGCTGGCTTCTCCTGAACCCTCCCTCATGCACCCTCCCTCTCTTTCTTATGTTGTCTTATTTTCTCCACTACGATCTAAGCACCCAGAAGGGCTGAGACTGACATTAGCAGCACACAAACAACCCAAAGTACATGAAAAGTAAAAACCTCACTAACCTCCAAGAAACTCTTCTCTAAGGCCACACGGATGTTGGTCTCTATGCTGGTGCGTTTCTTCCTCCTACGGTTCAAGCCCTCAGTTACCAGCCCTGGAGAGTTCAGGGCACTTGGGCTGGAGAGAGACGAATCAGATGAGAGGTTCTCTGCGAAAAGGAAGAAAACACGGAAATCAGAGTAGCTGAGCCT